AACAGGTTTCTTTACCTCAATTAACTTAAAATAATGGACCAATAAACCTATAAAAGACGCTTTCTTTACCTTGAGTCACGTTCCGTTTGTACGGCTTTATAGGACAGGAAAACGTGTGCCTCTTGTTCTGTTATTTTCTCTGAAGAGGTATCCATTTGCCTGCAAGAATCAGGATATGCATAGCGACAGGAAAAAAAACCTACAATTTAACTGTTTTTATTCTTCATTTCTTTTTGGACTTATCCTCAGTTTGCCCTCTCCTACATCTTACAAGGTGACACCAATCTGAGGACATGAAGAAACCACCCAGTGTCCATCTGTAACCGTGATTGGCAGGAAGGCTGGCAGGCAGCCCAGGTAATTACATGAAGGATTTCTTCCTATTCTATCCCGTAGCAAAGCACAATGTCATATTCTGAGTCAGAGCCAGTCATTTCCTGATTTTTTTTTTTTTTTGGATTCCTATGTTTTTAAAAAATCTGTAAAGAAAGAAGAAATGTCTGTAGCTCATTAGAGTGTTCAAGTGTGTTGTAAATTAGAGACCAGAATGCTCAGTTAAGCTTACCTAATGATGGCAATGCACTGGAAATGGACTTAAACTGGTGCTAGACTTGGCTTACTGATAGTAGACACCATTAATATAAGACTTCAGTTATACAAAACGAGGCAGCAAGGTGTGGGATAAGAGATTTGGGATCAAATGTCAGCTTTTCTACTCTCTAGGTATGTGGCTTTGGGCAAGTCACATCTCTCTGAAATTCAGTATTACGATCTTTGAAATGAAGACATGCCTTTCCTGAAGGGTTGCCAATAGGGCTAGCAATAATGTATACAAAGCACCTAAGGGTCTGCTGGGCCCTCATTATGTGATAACCCTTATGGAAAGACTTGTCCTATTGTTCAAATATGGCCAACTTAAATATCAAGGATGTTCCCGTAACAGTCCTTCCTGTGTGCCTTGCCAGTTGAAAATTTCAAAGGGAGATATATCATTTTTTAAACTGTTTTCCTTTTAAGAAGATTATGAAAATAGTATGCTGGAGGATTGTAGTCAGACTGAAGGTCTGGGGGAATAGATGGGACTGGATCATAAAAAAGAAGTGACAGGGCTTCCCTGGTGGTGCAGTGGTTGAGAGTCCGCCTGCCGATGCAGGGGACACGGGTTCGTGACCCGGTCCGGGAGGATCCCACATGCCGCGGAGCGGCAGGGCCCGTGAGCCATGACCGCTGAGCCTGCGTGTCCGGAGCCTGTGCTCCGCAACGGGAGAGGCCACAACAGTGAGAGGCCCGCGTACCGCAAAAAAAAAAGAAGTGATAGAAAGGGGCATGGATTTCTGTGGTGAGGGGAAGGGGTCAGAGATTACTTGGAGATTTCCAGTCTGGGAGCTGGGAGGTGATGCCATTTACTGAAATATGAAATCAATCAAGAGAAAAACAGAAGGTGAAGGATAGGCTTAGATGGTGGGGTAGGAGAAGAATTTGGTTTGGACTTAAGTTTGAGGAAACCCAGGGGGAGGTGTCGACTGGATTGTTGGAAAGAGAGTTCTGGTAGACTAGATTACCTGGGAAGGGAACCAAGGGCAGGGCTTTGGGGACCTCAAGAATTAAGGATGCAGGGAGAGGAGGAGGGGGACTCAGCAAAAGTTCGTAAGGAGAAAAAGGCCCATAGATTAGAACAGTGGTTCCTAAGCCTGAGAGCTGGTGAAAACACCAATTTGGGGGCCCCACCCCCAGAGTTTGATTTGGGTAGGGCCTGAGAATTTGCATTTCTGATAGGTTCCCATGGGATGCTGATGATGCTGATCCAGGAACCACACTTTGAGAACTAATGGGTTAGAACATCTGCTAGAAGACCTGGAGAAAGCTGAAAAGGTGTGACACTACTACCCTGGTGACAGGTGGGGTTGAAAAAGAGTCAATACTAGGGTGTTGAGAGCCCAGCTTAGGTGAAAACCCACAAGTTTATGGCAGGGTCAATGTGGACAAATAAGGAAATTATTCTAGATGTTGAGAGCAAGTTTTCTAGGACAGGAATGGAGAAGCCAATGATCAGATTCATTTAGGTTGGGGAACCGGTCCAGGGGCTAGGGTTGGGGAGGCCAGGAGTCCAGAGGACTGAGCACATTGGTGAGAGTTTGTTTAGAGAGGTAGAGCATGGCCTTGAACTCATCTTCCCCATCCCACCTTCTCGGCTGATGTTGCCTGTCTCAGCGAGGATCTCTGCCTCCTTAGGAAGGAGATTTGGGGTTGCCTGAACCCCAGATCTGAGTCATTCTTGCCTCCCTCTACCTCACCCTTTGCAGTTCACCCATCACCAACTTCTGTCGACCTCTAGCTTGCAAATATTTCTCCAAGTCCATCTAACCTTTCTCCATCCTCATAGCTTCTTACCCAGTGTCGGGCCACCACCATCCTTCACCTGGATTCATGCAGAGGTCTCTCTGCTTGTCTTCCTTCTACAAGTCTTGCCCACCCCTTCCTCCACCAATTCATTCTCAGTGCCGCGGGAGTCCTCTTTCTAAGACAGAGGTAAGCATTCCATGTTCCTGCTTAAAACCTTTCAACACCTATGCCATTACTCTAAAGAGAAACGATTTTTTCCTTTTAAAAAAACTTTTTATTGAAGTAGAGTTGATTTACCATGTTGTTAACTTCTTCTGTTATATATATTCTTTTTCATATTCTTTTCCATTATGGTTGGCACAGGATGTTGAATATAGCTTGCTGTACGATGCCGTAGGACCTTGTTGTTTATCCATCCTATATAATAGTTTGCCTCTGCTAATCCCAAACTACCATTCCTTCCCTCCCCCGCCTTTCCCTTGGCAACCTCAAGTCTGTTCTCTATATCCGTGAGCCTGTTTTTGTTTCATAGATATGTTGATTTGTATTGCATTTTAGATTCCACATATAAGTGACATCATGTGGTATTTGTCTTCCTCTGTCTGACTTACTTCGCTTAGTATGATAATGTCTAGGGCCAATCCATGTTGCTGCAAATGGCATTATTTCATGCTTTTCAATGGCTGAGTAGTAGTCCATTGTATTTATGTATCACATCTTCTTTATCCATTCATCTGTCAATGGGCATTTAGGTTGTTTGCATGTATGGCTATTGTAGGTAGTGCTGCAGTGAACATTAGGGTGCATATATCTTTTCGAATTACGTTTTTCTCCAGATACATGCCCAGGAGTGGGATTGCAGGATCATATGGTGACTCTATTTTTAGTTTATGAGGAATCTCCTTACTGTTTTCCATAGTGGCTACACCAATTTACATTCCCACCAACAGTGTAAGGGTTTCCCCACCCTCTCCAGCATGTGTTATTTGTAGACTTTTAAATGATGGCCATTCTGACTGGCATGAGGTGGTACCTCATTGTAGTTTTGATTTGCACTTCTAAAGAGAAACTTAAAAAAAATATTTTTTATTGTGGTGAAAGTCACATAATATAAAACATACTATTTTACCCATATGTAACTGTACAGTTCAGTGGCACTAAGTACATTCACATTGTTGTGCAACTCTCACCATCATCCATCTCCCGAATTTTTCACCTTCCTAAACTGAAACTCTGTCCCCTTTAAACACTGACTCCCCATTCCTCCTCCCCACCCCACCACCTGCTGGCATACCAGTGTACTTTCTGACTCTATGAATTTGACTATTCTAGGTATAAAGAGACTTTTTAAAGGCTCTGTCTCGATGTTGTTCCTCCTCACTGTTCCAGTCTCACCTCTTGATTCCATTGCCCTGGATACCTCTCCCTCCGTCCCTCTTTTCTCCCCTCACGTTGATTTCGTATATTTGGGGATATTTTCACCTTCAGGCCTTCCAGCGTGTTCTTTCTGCCTGGAATGTCCCTCAACGTCCCACCTTGATAACTCATCATCTTTCCAGTCTTATGCCACTTCTTCTGAGAAGCCCTCCCTGCACTCTCGTATCTGCATTATATGCTCCCTTATGTTAGCGTTTATTACAGGATACATCATTGTTGCCTCCTGTTCTGTCTGCTCCACCCATTCGATAATACACTGGTAGGGCAGGAGCTGTCGTGTTCTTGCTGTATCTCAGCACCTAGCACGGTGCCGGGACCTTAGTAGATGTGCCATAAAGTTTTGACCAGTCCCTGCAAGGGATCAGCGATACAACTCTGAGCCCAAATGCTCTGAGATTTAAATGCTAGCTTTTAAGCATTTGCAAGCTTTAAGTTTAACCCTAGTCTAAGAATGCTATGTCTGAGTTCTGGTGGGAACCTGACCAAAGAAAGAATGATTCACACACTCATGCTGTGAATGTTGATTTTATTAGTAGGTGAGTCTTTTATACACATAATTAAAATAGGCTATAAAAATAAGTACCTCAAAATAAAATGGCTCTTAGTTACACCTCTCACTTTGGGAAATACTGTTGACTGAAAGTATCCAATTATATTCCTTTGAAGAAAAGCCTTTTGATATTTGCTTCTTAAAAACAACAGTAACAGCAAAAAGTCAAATGCCTGAGCTCCAGATTTCTCTGGAGTTGTTCACAGATAACAAGGCCTCCGGGAAGAAAGCTAACTTTTTTTCAAGTTTCTATTTTAATTTAAAAAATATTGACTGACGTTCACTGTTGGCAGTTCTGACAAAACATCCCTTCCCTGTTCCCCTCGGGCTGTTGAAAATGTGTGCCTTTGAGTTCTCACACAGGACTCCTGGGCGACTAGTTACCATATGTTGGAGCCCTCATACCAGACACTGAAGCCCCTTCCATTCCTGGAAGAAAAGGGCCTTCAGTGTCTGGTATGGCTGTGTGTGCGGCCTTCACATGAAAGTTCACACTGTGCTGTCTGCAGAACCTAACCTCTGACTGATAGCGATACCTGAAAACTGAGAAGGTTTCTCCATCACCAGGAAAATGCTTTTCCCTACCCACCAGGGGCCCTTAAGCCAAAGCAAGTCGCTCTGAGGCTGGCTCTGGCTGGAACTCGGGTTTCTTGAGCAATGGGTTACTTTGGGGGGCCCAGCCATTGCTGGTGTTTCCGGCTCCCGCAGTTCAGCACCTTTCTTTCTCTGCGATGTCTCCATGCTGCAACCACGCGGCTTGCTTATAGGCCACGATGCTGTAAGAATTTACAATAGAGAATTATGAGCGAACAGCTGGAATGGGGCGGGGAGGTCTCTGGCCACCTCTTTATCACTGGTAGACTAGGAGGTTCTATCGGTTATGGCAGCAGAATGCTGTACTGCATGAAGGGAGAGGGCCCGAGGGAACTTCTCTCACTCCAGCCTCCTTCCTGTCCCATAACATCAAGAGCCCTTTGCATCTACATTTTCCTTTGCTTGGAGTCTCTTTCCATCTCACTTCCCAATGATGAACTCCCATGTGGACCTCAAGATCAAGTTTTGCTCATCCCAAGCAGAATTAGCTGCATCCTCTTTTGCCTTTCCATAGCCCTCTTCTCTCTTCCATAAATCATTATTACATTGTTTGTTTAGAAATATTTGGAGATAAGTGAACGCATAGGAATGAGGAGCTCTAGTTGAAATCTTGGAAGTCTCTGTGACCTCTGGCATGTCCTTCGACCTCTGGTGTCCTGTCTTCTCAACTGTTTTGAGCTCTAGGAACCTCAGGTTCTAAGCTGGCACACAGTTCCTCCTGATGGATGGACCACATCTGGAGCTGCTGGGTGGGGTGTGAACATAAATCCAAACCCTTCTAAGGAAAAGCTTTGTGGAAACTTCCAAACAAACACTGATTCCCCACCTTCCATGAGCCCCAGGGCTCTCCAGGGGGGAGCACTTACTGTACTTAGAGCTCATGGTATGACAGAGCTGGTAAGAGGCAAGCCAAGACTTAAGAGGCTGCTAGCCCGGGACCACATGAACTCCAGTTGTAGGCCCAACTCTACAGCTCACCCCTCCCTACTGTGGACCATGACAGCACAGTCACGTGGTTGATAAATTAAGGCGGGACAAGAAAACTTGTAAACATAAGATTCTCTGCCCATTTGAGCAACTACCTCCGCCCCTTTAGTGTGCATTGTGTGCCTGCATTTTTAGTGTGCATTGTGTGCCTGCATTATACGCTAACTAGATCCCCTTAGAAGACACAGGAATTCCTGCTCACCAAAAAAAAAAAGCAATTTCCTCCTGGTGCCAGCAAGGTGACTCCCTAGGAGTTAACATTCCTTTCTCAATCCTGTAAGGGGTCGCAATAACCCACTGCTCACCTTGTTGGACTACGTAAACTGTCAATGTGTTACTTTGGTTTTGTTTTCTGGTCCATATTGGGAAATTTTTAAAAATTGGAGTATAGTTAATTTACAATGTCGTGTTAGTTTCAAGTGTGATCACAGCAAAGTGATTCATGTATATATTCTTTTCCATTATAGTTTATTACAAGATACTCAGTATAGTTCCCTGTGCTATAAAGTATGTCCTTGTTTACTTACTTTATATATGGTAGTGTGTATATGTTAATCCCAAACTCTTAATTTATCCCCCGCCCGCCCCGCAATATGTTACTTTGATGTATAACCCATTGTCTGAAAAACTTACGTAGGGCTTCCCTGGTGACGCAGTGGTTGAGAATCCGCCTGCCAATGCAGGGGACACGGGTTCAAGCCCTGGTCCAGGAATATCCCACAAGCCGCAGAGCAGCTGAGCCCGTGAGCCACAACTACTGAAGCCTGTGCACCTAGAGCCCATGCTCCCCAACAAAAGCCACTGCAATGAGAAGCCTGTGTAGCCTCCACTCGCCACAACTAGAGAAAGCCCACGCACAGCAACGAAGACCCAATGCAGCGAAAAATAAATAAAATTAATTTTTAAAAAACCCAAGAAACAACTTACATAACTGTGCCTTGACCTCTAACAGGTGGAACAGTCCTCAGAGTTTTCTGAAATACTGTCTCCCGGGTTATAATCCTTGGGATAGCATGACTAAAATTTTCTATTTCTTTCTTAGATTGACTGTTGATCAATTTTCATTGATATGGTGATGGCCAACCCCTGACTTCACGGCCAGTCAACAGGCAGCTCTGGGATATGGATGGTCAGCAGTGCTGGCTAGTAGGTGTCACACCCTTCTGACAGATTTTTCATTCATTAAATACTTTGAGTACACACTAAGCTCTCTGCTGGACACAGGGTATGAGGTGAGCCAAACAGGTGTGGTTCCTGCCCTCAGGGAGCCTACAGTCTAGTGAGCAAGCTTGTAAAACATGATAATCACTAAATAATCATCAACTATCACGCTATGAAGGAAAAGTATAGGAAGCTTGGGGAGCATATAATAGAAGGATCGAAGTTAGATTGAGAAGGGGATTTTCTCAAATCCTCTTTGAGAAAATGGTGTTCAACTTAAGACCACAGCTAAGTTGTGTTAAGAAGGATGTGTGGGTAAGGACGGGGAAAGAGCATGAGGGTAGGCTCCTGGGGCTGAAGCATAGAATGGGGAGGGTGGTTAGTGGCAGGAATGGGAGGCTGGATTATGAAGGACCTGTGGTCCACGGTTAAGAAATTTGGGTCTTAAGAGCAGTGAAAGCCAAGCGCAGAGCTTTGGGCAGGAGATGATGTGAACTGATGTGCACTCTAAGGAAATTGCTCTGGCCACCTGGTGGAGAGAGGATGAGAGGGGAACACGTGTGGATGTGGGGAGAAGGGCTCAGAGGCGAATTTGGTCCCCCATAGTGCTTGGGTGGCAGCAGTAGGCATAAAGAGAAAAGGATGAATTGGAGGCATATGTTGGAGGTAGAATCAATGTAGAGCAGGTGTAGAGCAGGTGTAGAGCAGGTGTAGACGAGAACTGGAGAACATGGCTGTAAAAAAGGAGGAGAGAGGGTGGTAGATCACGTCTCACTTCTGACAGGAAGAATTCAGGAGAGGGAGCAGCTAAGTAGTGCAAGTAAGCTCTCTAAGGAGAAGGGGAGAGGTGGTACCCAGGGACTCTTCTAAGAAGCAAGTCAAGGAGTGGCCGAGAACCAGCTGCCTGGGTTCAAATCCTGTCTCTGCCACTTATTAGTTCTGTAATCTTTGGCAAGTTACATGACATCTTAGAGTCTGTTTCTTCATCTGCAAAATGGGGATAAAATAGTAATTGTCTCAGAGGATTGTTTGAGAAGGTTAAAATATATGAAATATTTAAAGAAGTGCCTCGCACATAATAAGGGCTGTTTAAGTGTTTGCTATTATCTTTCAGAGAGAGGTTGGCGGGGAGAACAACAGGATGGATGCAGAAGAATGCAGGCTTGTAGATCTACTTCGGAGAAAACGAGCCCACTCTCGTCTGATGGCATCTGTTTTCTCTATGAAGCACGAGGTTTGGGTGGCCAGTGGGTTGCGGATGGGCAGAGCCAGACAGTTACTCCCTCAGCATCTCCCTGTCGCATGTAAAGAAAAACAAGCAGGAGAGGGCAGGTTCTCACAGTGACGTGAAATTGACTCACTTTGGTACCAGGAAGGGCTGGGGCCGCACTCCCTTCCTGCAGATGGGCTGTTGGCAGCTCAGCCCAGGAACCTCTCCTCCCAGCCTTCTGCCCTCCGTGGCCTCCTCCACTCCCTGCTGTGACATGTCTTCCTGGGCTTTTATGTCATTGGAATGTAGCTTTTCTTCCCGTGGTTAGAGAGTTCTGGTCTTTCCTGCTAATAGCGCTTAATGATTGATGGTGCAGCCTTGGCCTCTTGTAATAATTTTTCAGGATCTTATTTACTTGTGACTTCGTGGAAGGGAAAGGTAATAGAAAAACTCCCTTTATACCAGAGGTTCTCAACCTTGGCTGTATATCCGAATAAACTGGAGAGCTTTAAAAAATTCCTGTGCCCAGGCTGCATCCCAGATCAACTGAGTCAAAATCTCTGCGGGTAGGAGCCAGACATCAGTAGTTTTTAAATCTCTCCAGGTGATTCCAATGTACAGCAAGCAAAGGAGGCTTCGGTTGCACATGGGTCCCTCTACAGCTAAATGTCTACAGCAGAGGGAAACAATTAGCAACTACTTAAGTGCCTCAATTCACATAAGCATTCAGTTACTTAAGATTGGTTCAAGATTCTGTCCCTGCTTCTGTGACATAAGATCATGAAGATCATGCATATCTTAATCAAGATTCCATGCACACAGTGTAGGGCTGGGTCCAGGTGCATATTACATAGTACATTGGGGGGTAGGTGTCAAGGGCAGCACACCTGTTTCATGCACCCCAAAGTCTCTTAAAAAAGGGAAAGCATCTCCTTAGCACACATATGAAGCAATGAAACTGCAGAAAAGAACCAATTATTGCATATTCTCAGTGCTTTCATTTGTTTATGTTTAGCTATGACACACATTAACCAGTCAGACTTGTTTTCTTCTGTTGTTTTTTGTTGATTTGTTTAGGTCAAAGAGACTATATTTCAACCAATTGCCAATCAAACAGGACTGGATAACTTGCAAGCGGCACGGCTACTAACCCATTACTCACATGGACAGAGAGCTGGGACTCCTGAGAAGTTTGCATTGTGGGTCAGCTCTAGCTAAACCCAACCTATTCAGCTGAGACTTTTATGAAAACAGTGGCACATGAAAAGGCCTAAGGGCTGGGCAGCTTGAGGACAGGTCTGGCTCAGTCCTACACCTTGAGAAAATGAGAACTGGCCCAAGAAGGCACTAGTAATCAAGTCTGCTGTTTTGTACAAATTCTCTCAGCTGTTTGATCCTCATATCTTATTATCTTCTCAACTATGAAATAAAGCAAAGAGCCTTCATGATTGATGGCTCCTGTCTCAGGAGGCTCAGCCTTCTGTGCAGGCAGGGACGTATGCAATGCGATGTGAGAATTCAAAGAAGATGGTGAGAATTCCACCATCCACTTCCCACTTCCAACCTGCCTTCAATTCTGGTCTACTCTGCTGCCTATAACACCACCATTACTGATATGTAGGGCTCTGGTGTGCTACTGGTCCCTTTAAAATGCAAATCTATGTCAAGTCCCTTGTATCTTACTGTGGATATCAATAATCCTCGGGTGGGACTGATACAAGTGTGAGATAACCACACCTTAGGAAAGGATAAAAGGGCCTAAACAGACCGAAACTGAGCTAATATGTAGCTACTAGTTAACACTGGCTACTGAACACTTGAAAGGTGTTCAAATGGAGTCCAAATTGACGTGTGCTGTCAGTATGAAATACCAGATTTTGAAGATTTAGTTTAAAAGACTCATTGATTTCATAAATTGATTACAAAGATATTTTGGATCTATTGGGCCAAATCAAATGTTATTAAAATCATTTCACCTGTTACTGTTACTGTTTTTAAACGTGGCTACTAGAAAATTTTAAATCACATAATATGGCTTGTACTTGTGGCTCGTACCATATTTCCCTTGGATGGGGCTGGTCGAAGACTAGACTGTTGCATGTGGTCCATTTTGGTGATGATCTAGGCTGGCACTCTCCCCCTGGGCCTGGAGTACCCCTCCTTTGCTTCTCTAGCCTTCCTCCTGCCTATTATCTTCCAGACTTTAGCGCTCTTGTTTTGCAAACAAGAACATTCCCCCAGAGAGATCAAAGGAATCGCCCACGTCCTACAGGGAAGCTCACACAGTCCGGTGGCCATGAGATTTAAAGGGCACTGAGCACAGAAGTTGCCAAGCCCTTGGAAGGTACAGACAAGAAAGAGTACCTGGAAGTGGGGCCGGCTGACTCTCACCTAAAGGAGACTAAACAAAAAAAGTCTGAGTGGTACAAGAAGGTTTCTAATCCCAGCCCCTGATTACAAGGAAGTATATGAGTTGCCTATAAATAAGTTGTATTACAAAACCGCCAGGAAGTGAGCCAGCTTGTTAAGGCCCTCTGTTTATTACTTATAACTTGAGGGAATTTCCAAATCGCCAGATTATTAGTTTGGGGAAACAGGAGAACTTTTTCTCTGTGAGAGAGCCTACTCAGAACCCATTGTGTAACTGTTGAAAATAAATAATACTTTATGATAATGGGCCGGAAATGCTCCAACAGTCCTTGACCTAAGCCCCAGGCCCCAGCTCAAAGAGCAGCCGCTGGTCCTGTCTTACCCAATCGGGATGATGGCCAGGAAGGAGAGGAAGGAGGATAGTGCAAAGCAGGTGCCGACGAACTTCTCCATGGTGAGCTGATAGACCTTGTTGTACATGGTGGATGTCACCACCCCGGTCAGAGCCAGGGACAGCTGCAGGATGACAAACACCTTTCCTGTGGAAGGGAGCGAGGTTACCAAGGTTACTAAGCTGTCCCTCCATGTTCCCCGAGAGCTGAGTCTCCGGGGGGTTCTCAGGAGACCCCTCACCCTCCCCAGACTCCGTCTTCCTGGCTCATTTTACGGGATTCTTGCCTCCACCCAGCTGACTCTTCCCATGGCCCGTGGAGGGTAGTATCTCCCTTTGACTGTGGCTTTTCAGCGGCTGACTTTCCGAGTCTTTCCCACCCTCCTGCTCTCACTCCCTCCACTCTGGATGGACACCAGTGTGTTTCTCGTGTCTTCAAGGCTGCTTCTGGAACTCTCTCCTGTGCCTTCTGCCAGTCCAAACCCTGTGCCTCAAGCCGACTGGCTCTGAAACCGTCCAGACAGAGAAACCTCCGAGAAATTCCTTTCACTCACCGTAAGAGGAGCCCTTGATGAGCTTGGACATTGCCGATCGGATGGTTGTGATGGGGATGAGAGCGAACAGCATGACGGCCCGAGCTGGAAAGGAATCACAGGAGAACACTCCTCACTGTAGCCCAGCCTTGGCCAAAGAGTAAATTAGAATAGAGCAAAGGCCTCCCCTACCCCCTCTCCCACAATCCTATGTGGCCTTGAAGAAATGGTTTCTCTCCTGGCAGACTAGGACCCCCCCACACATCTCCTCCCCACACCCCGGGCAGGCTGATTCTCTGAGCACATTGCTGCAGACCCGTCTGCAAGGTGCCAAGCACAGTGGTGACAGAGGGTGAAGGGTGTCGTTATTGGTAGAGTTGTTTCTAGGGAAGTGGAGCTGATGTCACTCAGAACTCCTCTTCTTGCCTCCTGGGAGAGAGGTGTCTGCGCTCGCCGTTCATCGTCACCTCTGGGAGATGGTCCCAGGAGCTTTGGCAGACTGCATCTAGAAATGTGCGCCACTAACACACCTGCCACACACCCCTCCTTCCCTCAAGCCCTGTTCATTATTCCTTGGCGGGCGGGTGGGCGGGCGTGCGTGCGTGCGTGCGTGTGTGTGTGTGTGTGTGTGGTGGGGAAGGAAGGGGAGGGGGGACTCTGGCTCTTGCACACGGCCTGTTGAACTGGGAGCTGGCGAAAGGTAATCTTGCCATTTTGTGAGGGGTTTTTCTGAGTTGTGTGACCTCTGCCAAAGGACGGTCTCTGGGAACCATCTTGAGTTGTTCGAATATGTTAGCCACTAGCCAGCCAAGCCACGTGACTATTAATTTAAATGAAATAGTATGAAAAATTCTGCTCTTTTAGTTGCACTGGCCACATTTCAAGGGCTTCATAGCCATACGTGGCTCATGGCTAGTGTATTAGGCAGAACAGATACAGAACATTTCTATCACTAGAAAGGTCTGTTGGAGCACGGGCCAGAGCTCTCTGCTTGTGGGCTGTCTTTGTCCTCAGATAGGAACTTCATTCTGCTTCCTTGAGGGAATGAATGTATTACACTGGTTGTGGAAGGCATTTATGGAGAATTTTTCTCTCTTTTTAAAAAGCTTGGGCTTGACCCAAAATGATTGAAATGATTTTCATTAAAGGACTTTTTCAGCTGGATTACTTAATGTTCTATCCCTTTAAAACTGGGGAGAAGAAACAACCCCATCTCCTCCACTCGAGGGCATCCCGAAGGCTCTCCTGCTGACTCCAGGCACCACTGACCAGCCCTCCCCTGACTTCCTAGAGCTTTGGGCACCACTCTGGTAACATTTCAGGGGCCACACAGGTAATACCGACAAACTCAAGTGCACATAATCCTGTCTCCCTTGTGTCTCCTAGGTAGCAGGTATAATCTCCGGTGCTGAGCTGGGACACCTAGACCACATCATCCCTGGGGTCAGCCCCATGACTCAGGGGATGCGCAGTGTCCTTGTCCTGCCTCCCCAAGAATGCCACACTCACCAATGTAGAACATGTATGTCTCTTTCACAAAAGCCAAGAGGAGGGCTCCAGACGCAAAGGAGACCATTCCAATCATGATCATGGTGGTGTCCTGGAAGTAGCGGGAGAAGGCCAGGACGCCCAGGAAGCTGGTGACGAAGATGGTGTACCCTGAAGCCATACCATAGCCCACCTGCACTTGGTTCCAACTCAGAGGCTCCCTCAGCACAAAAAGGGGCATCATGTCCACTGTGCCCACCACTGCCAGATCATATATGATGGCACCCACAAAGAGCAGAGCAATAATGGTTTTCTTGGGCTTTGCTATTGCAGGAGATGAAGGGTGCCTCGTCACACTCTGCTTGTCTGTCGGATCAGGATCCAGGGTGTTATAGGTGCAGACTGTGCCAGACACCGTATCCACAGCCTTGCTGGGCTTGGCCTTGGACTCAGGGACCTTCAGCACCAAGAGGCTGTAGAAAAGGGCACAGGTGGCACAGCTCACACTGAAGGCGGTCAGCACCAGGCCCTGGCTGGAGTGCCCGACTATCTGATTGAAGAGGTGCCCAGAGATCATGCTCCCGCAGAATCCCGCCAAGCCCAGGATCAAGTCGATCACGATGAGGCGCAGGGAGCGGCGGCCCTCCGAGGAGCCGAGGGATCCCAGGGCCATGACCCCCGACCAAAACGCCGAGAAGCCACCGCACAGCCCGTTCAGCGCCGCCGCCCCGTAGAGCATCTCCACGGGCCAGTCCAGCAGCACCTTGAGCAGCAGCGCGAAGCGGGAGAGCATGAAGCCCAGCAGAGGCATGCAGATGGAGATCTTGCGGTGGTAGTGGTCGCTGAGCCAGCCCAGCCCATAGGCCGACAGCAGGGGTGTCAGCCCCATCACAAGGTTGTAGATGATGTAGAAATTGGAGATGGCTCTCTGCTCTTGGTTCTCTAGAGTCCCCTGGGGCGATGGGCTGGCGCTGTGGTTGGACAAGACGTCGACTCCGAAAGATGCCTTCACCACGAGGAGCAGCCCCGCGTCGTAGAGGGAGGTGGCCATCTGGGTGGAGGCCACCACGGGCTCGATCCAGGTCGACACCTGGGGGCGAGACAGGGGGCCCCTGTACGGGCAGGTGGTCCCCGGGCCCATGTCGTCTCACTGATGCGGGATGGAGGGAGGGGCTTGCCCGCTGCTGCTGCTGCTGCTGCTGCTGCTGCCGCAGCTGCTCCCGGAGGGCGGGGGCGCAGTCCGGGTGCGCGCGGGGAAACCTGCGAGCCGAGCTGAGCGAGGCGCAGGGCGCGAGTGGCAGCAGCCAGCCGGGCGGCCCAGTGACCTCCGGGACCACGGCCACGCCTACCCGGACCAAAAAGGGCCACGCTCCGCCCCCGGAGGCGGAGCAGGACTGGCGGCGGCCCAAGGAAGCGAGGCGCGGGGGAGCGCGCGGTGAGTCTGGAGTCCGGCTGCGCCCCTGCGTCACGCTGCTCCGGGCAGCGCGGCCGCCTGAAGGGCCGATTTACGCACGGCCGGGCGTGCCTGGACCTACCGCAGGTCGCTGGGCACCTTCCCCTGGGACTTGGCCCCGCCCCCCCCAAGGCAGGGAGCAAAATTCTGTACCTGGAAGGCAGTTTGGGGCAAGCCGTGTGATGCCTGGGATCAGCGTGGTGGCGGGGAGGGGGGCGGTGAGGTTTTATTTTGGGGTTTAAAAGTGACGGGGACCTATGTGCTGTGGAGAGCTGGGTAGCAGAGACTGAGAGAAATTTTAAAAACTCAGGAGTCCTAGTATCTCTTTGAGGTGCTGATTTCAATTCTTTTGGATACAGACCCCGCAGTGGGATTGCTAGATCATAGTGCTGCTTTTATTTTTTTGAGGAAACTTCGTTGTTTTCCATAGAAGCTGCCCATTTTCCTTTCACAGCACCAGTACACAAGGGTTCCAATGTCTCACATCCTCACCAACACTTAATCTATTCTGATAAATAGCCATCTTGACAGGTGTGGGGTGATACCTCAGTGTGGTTTTGATTTGCATGTCCCTGATGATTAGCTTATCTTTTCATATGCTTCTTGGCCATTTGTATATCTTCTTTGGAGAAATGTCTATACAAGTCCTTAGCCCATGTTTGTTTTACAACTGAATTGTAGGAATTCTTATATATGTTGGAGATTAACTCCCTTTCAGAGATATGATGTGCAATATTTTCTCCCATTCTGTAGGTTGCCTTTTCACTCTGTTGATTTTTTTTTATTTTGCAGTGCAGAAGCTTTTTAGTTTGATGTAGTCCCACTTGTTTATTTTTAGGTTCTTTTTTTTTAATATATAAATTTATTTATTTTTGGCTGCATTGGGTCTTTGTTGCTGCGCATGGGCTTTCTCTAGTTGTGGCGAGTGGGGGCTACGCTTCGTTGCGGTGCACGGGCTTCTCATTGAGGTGGCTTCTCTTGTTGCAGAGCACAGGCTCTAGGTGTGCAGGCTTCAGTAGTTGTGGCACGCAGGCTCAGTAGTTGTGGCTCGTGGGCTCAGTAGTTGTGGCTTGAGGGCTCTAGAGCACAGGCTCAGTAGTTGTGGTGCATGGGCTTAGTTGCTCCACGGCATGTGGGATCTTCCCAGACCAGGGCTCGAACCCATGTCCCCTGCATTGGCAGGTGGATTCTTAACCACTGCACCACCAGGGAAGTCCTCTTTTTAGGTTCTTGAAGAGATTAGCACTCCTGTGTTCATTGCAGCACTATTCACAGTAGCCAAGATGTGGAAGCAACCTAAATGTCCACTGATGGATGAACGGAAAAAGAACATGTGGTATATAAATACAACTGAATGTTATTCAGCCTTTAAAAAGAAGGAAATCCTGAGATTTGTGTCAGCATGGATCAACCTTGAGGACATTATGCTAAGTGAAATAAACCTGTTGTAGTAAGACAAATGCTACATGATTTCCCATATGAGGTATCTAAAATTGTCAGATTCATAGAGTGGAATGGTGGTTGCCAGGGATTGGGGGGCGGAGGGAGGGAGAAATGGGGAATTACTAGTCAAGTAGCATAAAGTTTCAGCCAAGCTAAATGAAGCAGCTCCAGAGATCTGCCAGGTACAACAGTGTATTTACAGTAACACAATATACACTTAAAAATGTGTTAAGAGGGAAGCTCTCATGTTAAGTGTTCTTACCACAATTAAACAACAACAGCAACAGAAAACAAACAAAAACCCCAAACAAAACCCTCCGGAGCAGCTAGGCTCAGCCCTTCCTCCAAGACAAAGGCCTCTTGGAGAAGAGTCCTTCTTTGAGCACCTGAATTAAAGGGCCAGGAGCCAGCACAGGACCCAAGCCAGCATGGGTCCCAGCCTGGAGGCTTTGTCCTTAAACCCCAGCGCCAAGGGAGAGAGGGGGAGGTCCTGCCAGCCCTGTGTGTCCCTGCAGATGCTAAAATTGGACTCTTGCAGGGGGTAGATCCCACAAGAACAGTCACCAGGATCATTTGCTGCTGAATAAAGTCCCCAGGACCCTTTCTATTTCTTTGCGGTTCTTCCTCTGTCTCACGGGCTCACTGCCTTGGACTAGGTGGAGATCGGTTTCCCTGGCTGGCTTGCTTCCTCCTTTAAGTACACACTCCTGCAGAGAGGACCTTCTTCTGACTTGAGTCTCCCTTGTATGACTTTAGGTTCCTGCTCGCCAGGGCTGCGGTGCTGCCTGTGTCGGGTCGAGCAGACAGGGAGAGAGGTGCAGAGTCTAGCAGACAGGGAGAGAGGTGTAGCGTTTGTTTTGACTTTCCATTGGGGTGGGGAGTGGGGGAGGCAGAAAAGAGGCATGGGGAAGTGAGACTCGGGTCTGCTGGTGAGAACAGGAACCCCCGGTGTCAGTGTGGTCAGAGGAACTTTAGAAGAATAGGAAGGTCTAATAGGGCTCTAAACAGCTTGCTGTCTCATGTATGTATATGAATCCTTCCTGAGACCTCACCCTACCTCCTTGGTTCTTTAGAAAAGTCTACTCATGAATGTTTTGTGTAAGTGGGATTTTTAATTTTTTTATTTTGGTGGAAGCCGGTGAAGAATCTGTGATTCATGTCTGGATTAACGTAACTCTGGGCAGAGATCATGAGCAAGCAGAAGGAGAGGAGACCACAAGAACACCAGTCTCCCGGGGACTTGCTGAAATCTGGGACGGGCTTGGGAATGTCCCAGGCTGTGGACTTGGGTGGTTCAGCCGTCTGACCCAGATCCTGAGGGCCAGGGAGACCCTCGCTGCTGATGCAGGCTGCAATGATGGGAAAAGTGTTCTTCTCTATTGTTGATATTTTAGGGGCTGAGGTGAGCCTTTTCCCAAGACATTACAAGTGAAGGAAAGAAGATGCCCTCCAAGACATAAATACAGAACGAACAAAGCAAAGATGTACAAACTCATCCTAGGAGACAGAGAGAAACCTTGTCAGTGACCATCCAAGAACTTTCTTTCTAGGGTTTCCCAATGGCTGGCCCATCACTAGATGCAGGGGCCACCCCAAGTTCCCTTGCCTGAGCACAAGCAATCTTCTAGTTGTGATTTTACTTCCCAGTAGAGCTGAGCGCAGGAAAAAAGTGTGCTAGTTACGTGAATACTCCAAATAAGTTCTCATGGTAAGTTAATACATTGGCATTCTGCTTTCTCTGCCTTTCCAATTTGGTTAATGTAGGCCTCTGTCTGGGAAATGACTTCCCTCTCCGAGTGCTGATGAAGTCTTTTATTCTGTCAGGCTGAGCGCTAGGCCTCATTTATAATAAGTTATCAAAATAATGAATGCCACCCATGGATCTTCTTGGGAAATTGTTTCATTGGCTACTCCCCCTCAGGGTGGCACGCTAACATTGCCCAATTTTATAGATGAGGAAACAGACTTAGGGTGGGCTAAGTCATTTGCACGAGGTCACACAGAGCCAGAATTCAAATCTTGGTTTGTGTGAGAGTCCATGCTATTTTCACAATGTTCCATTTCTGACATAATTGAAGAGATACATTTTCAAAATGCATTTTTGTGTTCAAAACTTTGTCAAATACTGTAAGCCTATTCCTAAGGTATTTTCAAACTCGGTGATTCATTTGTTCATTCATCATCCATTCATCTACCATCCATCCATCATTTACAAGCATTTTTTGAGTATCAGGCTCACTGCTTGTTACCAGGGATACAAAATCCTTTGCCCTCAAGGATCTTTCAAGTCTGAAGAGTTATCAAGAGGCACTGTACAAACACTCCAAGTTCTGTTTTACACCGGTAGTCACTGACAACAGGCCATGCCTCCTCTTTCAAAGATTCTGGCTTAATGGGATTCCTGTCTACCCCAAGCTCTGCTCCCAACACGAATGACCTCATGAACAACCTGCTCAACACTGTAGAAGTAAGACATCTGTTTCTACTGGCCAGGATACATTGATTCTTCTTCTGGTAAGAAGAACACCCCATTTTTCCTCTGATGAACCATCTTCCAAGTGGAAATGAGACTCAGGTCTGGCCAATCACAGCACTGCGTGCCTGTGATGACAGTGATTGGTTTGGAGATGGAAATGTGACCCAAATTTGAACCAGTAAGAATGAGGCCCAGGACTCTGACTTAAATAGTTAGGGAGGAGACACTTATTCTTCTCTGCTCATCTTAGACTGGTGGGGATGAAAGCCTGGAGTCACTGGCAGCCGTTTTGCTCCCCCTAGAGCAGAGCTTGCCTGAGATCTCCCTATAGAGGACAGTGGAGCTGAAAGATGGAGAGTCAGATCCTGATCACACCCTACGAGCTCTGCCTGAAGCTAAACTACCTCTTCACCTTTTTTTTTCTTTTTTTTTTTTTTAACATCCTTATTGGAGTATAATTGCTTTACAATGGTGTCTTAGTTTCAGCTGTATAACAAAGTGAGTCAGCTATACATATACATATATCCCCATATCCCCTCCCTCTTGCGTCTCCTTCCCACCCTCCCTATCCCACCCCTCTAGGTGGTCACAAAGCACCGAGCTGATCTGCCTGTGCTATGCAGCTGCTTCCCACTAGGTATCTATTTTTACATTTGGTAGTGTATATAGATCAATGCTATTCTCTCAGTTCGTCCCAGCTTACCCTTCCCCCTCCCCGTGTCAAGTTCATTCTCTACGTCTGCATCTTGATTCCTATCCTGCCCCTAGGTTCTTCAGAACCTTTTTTTTTTGGACTCCATATATATGTGTTAGCATATGGTATTAGTTTTTCTCTTTCTGACTTACTTCACTCTGTACGACAGACTCTAGGTCCATCCACCTCACTACAAATAACTCAATTTCC